GAAATGTGATTGTGAAGGAGAATGAGAATGGGGAGTTGTGTGATTTGAAGGGCATGGAAGGTGATGCAGATCGATTACCAAATGTAGCACCAGTACTCTCTCCTCATTCGTCATTGAAAATGGAGCCATTCGAGGATTCGGTTTTCTATATGGACAAAAGTGTTTTGGAACGAGAGGTGCCAGAGTTAATAGTCTGTTGCAAAGAGAATACATGCCATGTCAAGGACATCTGCATTGATGAGGGAGTACCTTTGCTGGACAAGTTCTTGTTTGACACAGATGCACATGATAAGAATGTGTGTGAATTCTTACCTTCTGCAAGGGATATGAACAATGAGATGGTTAAAGAAAAGTCTGACGTTGATATGTTGATTCCAGATGTTCTGAAATCTTCACCAGAAAAGCAAAATGCGAATATTCATTTGCCTGTTCCGGATATGTTGAAATCTTCCGAAGAACAGGATTTGAAATGTGAATTATCCCTTGATTATAATCCCAAGCATTTAGTACCAACAGAGGAAGTTATGGACTATGTAACGGCGAAGGTTGCAAATGACGCACCCAAAGAGATTTTATCACTTGGAGATCTGCTGTCAATGCCAGAATTTGGTGCAAATTTAACTTCTACCAAGTCCAATCACAGCATGGATAAAGTTGAACAACATTCTCTTCAGGTAGGCACATCATTACCAACATTATTTTGGTCTGCTACAAATTCTCAATAAAAGATAAATAAAGAAAAAGGAAGCCTGCCTCTATTCATTTATGATGAGTTGTTATATGAATTGCTTATTATTTTCATCTAGCATTTCTCCTCTTTTCTCTTTTCATTACAGGGGAGTGTCTTTTGCATAAAAACGGGGTCTGTCACCATACTATTTGCGCTAACTGATAGATGATGGTGCGAGTACTTGAGCAGCACAAAGTATGAGTGTGCGTTTGTCATTGCATTACTCATGTACTTTTATCCTTAAGAGGAAGGTGTCTGGTAGAATAGCTGTGATCATCTGGTCTTGCGGGAAATTCATGCTATTTCTCATGTAAAGGCGTTGATGTCCTCAAGTTCTTGTTTGAGAAAATCTATTTCAGCCCGGTGTTCAAACCCTTTATGTATAGAGAGATAAAAAAAGTTGGGGTTTTGGGTTTGACATATTTGGATGTAATGCTGTTTGTAATCGTTTGAATGCTTGATTGCAGTGCCCGCGGGAAAATGCAATATTGGAGTCAGATTCTACAAGTGAAGAATCTGAAAATCGCAGTGAGGAAACAGTCTCAGTGACATCTACTTTGGTTTTTGCTGCTGAAGAACTTGACAGTGGCCTTGAGGCACCAACCTTGGCAATCCCTGCCCAGGGTCCTGCATATCAAGAAGCAGAGCATAGCCACAAGGAAGTGGTCTTGGTGAGTCCCACTCTGACTTCTGCAGCAGGAGAATCAGACAGCAGCATCGTGGAATCAAAACTGGAAAGCCATGCTCTGGATTCTATTTATGAAGAATTGACCAGTAGGACGATGGATCAGTCACCTTACGATAGTAAGGCGGAGACTGGAAGCATCACTTTTGACAATGACTCTTCTGCTCCCGCTGCGAGTGGTGGAGAGTCTCCTCGGAATGGTGACTCTCAGTGTCTCGAGCCTCAAATTTCATCCAGGCTTGAAGATCCTAATACCGTGCCATTTTCAGGTCAACTTTGTACTGATGGAGAGTCAAGTTTCTCCGCAACAGGCTCTTTACCAGGTCTGGTAAGTTACTCGGGGCCCATTCCGTATTCTGGGAGTGTCTCTCTTCGATCAGACAGCAGCACAACCAGCACCCGCTCCTTTGCCTTCCCCGTGTAAATAACTACCAGACTATTTCTTTTATCTTTTATTCGCGCCGCGCCCCTATATCAAACCATTGGCTAATGATTTGATTTTGAATTCAGATTACAGTCAGAATGGAATAGCAGTCCAGTAAGAATGGCGAAAGCAGACCGAAGACATTTCCAGAAACCTAGGAGGTGGAGGCAGGGCCTTCTTTGCTGTAGATTCTGAATTCTTCTGTTCTGTCCATAAGTTGAAGTGAAAATATACACACATTGAAATTTTTATTTATGGTTTAGATAGTAGTGTATAGATCCATCTCTCTTTCTCTCTGGCCTGGGTGTGTACTTGCAGCAGCTCTATAGTATCAAAAGTTCTCCCGAGTGTGGGACACTCGTACATGTCAGTTGAGATGTAAGCAATATCTTATAATTTTGCTGTCATAATTTCATCTGCCTTCATTAAATTTCATTTTTTGTTCCCTGTATAGTTAGAGATCAATTATATTTGATTTTCTATTATCGATGCATTAACAAAGGGGGGACTCAACGGGAGATCTCATCCCTATCTGCTCCTCCAAGAAATCTTGTAATAGAGATTTGCAATTATGTATATTTTGCTATTATTTTTGGAATTCAAGAAAAACATGTGAAAAAAAACTTTTCTTGAACACTCAGTATCTGCATAATCAAACAAGCTATCTGAATTAAACGCAATACTCAATAGAAAAAAAAAGTTGTTTTAGTTTTAAAAAGGCACCCAAAATTAAACAAGATAAACAAAGCTTTCATGGATCGACTACATAGGCACGTGCATTGTCTTTGAAAAACGGAAATCTGCTTATTTGATTCAATTCACGCATTATGATGTGGTTTTCGATTGAGGGCGTTGGTACTGGGATTACAACTAGTATTTTCGGATTGGATTTTTATTATATTTTTATTTTAAAATTGTAATTTAATAAAAAACTTAAATGTCTGTATTCGGGTTCTAATTATTTAATAATATATATATTATTTAATTATCCAAAAACAACTCCCTCGTTCAGAAAATTATGTTCATGGGGTTTGTAGCTCGCAATGGTTAATAAAAAATACTTTCCTGTCAACAAAAAATACTTTCTAATTAATAAAAATATTTTTTAGTCAAAAATAATTTTAGCTTAGTTTTCAGAAAAAGTGTTTTCCTTTTAGCTGTGTTTGTTTTCCAGAAAGTGATTTTCAGGAAAATACTTTCCAAACCTTCTTGTGTTTATTTGCTGTTAGAAAAGTTGGTAAACGGAAAACACTTTCCAGTCAAAAGAAGTCAAAAGAAAATTTGGCTTGATTTTCAGGAAAGTATTTTCCTGAAAAATTTGGGAGGAAAACACTTTTCGGAAGTTGTGAAAAGTTTAGAACTGTCATTATTTACTGATTATATCAAATTTGATCCTCAAACTTTTGATTGCTATATATATTTTGTTTTGAATATTTATTTTTCAATTTCATTTCTTAAAATTTAATTTTTATATTTACTTTGGTTCTCATTTTTATAATTGTTATTTGCTTTTCTCCTATTATTTTTTTATTCAAATTTTTTTTCTATCAAATTTGATCCTCATTTTTTTATTGTTATTTATTTTATTTGAAATACTTTATGAAATGTTAATTATTATTATTTTAATTTCTTCATCTTTTTTTTTAAGATTTGATCTTTATTGTTTTGATTATTATTTATTTTATTTGAGATAATTTATGAAATTATTTTTTTTCAATTTTATTATTATTTAACTTTTTAATTTGTAAGATTTATTTCTTATTATTTTAATAAACTTGAGAAAAATAAAATATTAATAAATTATTTTTCAGTTCATTTTTTATAACATAACCAAATACTGCAAAATATTTTCCTGTTCATTTTCCATAATACTGTCAAATATCAAAAAATATTTTACTTTTAAGGAATTCATTTTCTACATAATTCACTTTTTTTAGAATTCACTTAAAATAAATAATTTTTCTGCAAACAAACAGGAACAGGTGTGTTTATACGCCCAAGGTCTCTCACATTCCTATATATGGTGGGATATCGACTCCACAAATGCAACTAATACTTGGGATGTATTTGTTTTTTTTATTTAATTTATTTTTTAAAACTATTTTTTATTTGAAAAATATTAAATTGATATTTTTATTTTTTTTATAATTTTGATATGTTTAGCCATAAAAAAAAATATCCTAACATATTTTCAATTAAAAAATATTTTTACAAACCACAGCATGATCTAATACACACTCCTCCAAACCTGAGCTTATTTTGACGCCCCGAAAGTGAAGAATGTTCTTCCTTCGGCTTGACTTTTGGGATTTTGAAGTGACAAACTGGGTCACGTATGTATATATAATGGTCCCCTTTTCCTCGCAAGAACATGAGTGCATAGTTATTGCACTGGTACCAAGCCAGCGACTTGATCTGAAACTCAAAAAAATAGCTTCATTTGAATCAGTTTTTTTTTTTTTAAATAATCAATTTAGATATAAATTCAATCAAACTTGGATGACTTCTCAGTTAAATCTATAACCCGACTAAAACTACGTGAGACCCAGCTGGGTCAAGGAATTTCCTTTTTAATTTCTTTTTCTAAAATATCATCGTCTTATTTTTTTTATTTTCTTTTATCCAAAACATGTTATCTAATGAAAAGACCACTAAAAATAAAAGATATCTAAAGCAGAGTTATTTTAAAATTAATTCAAATTGACTTGAAGATCAAATTAATAACCTGAGTTTTTAGCCAGGTGAGGCCTCGGCACACGTTCTAACATTGCATGATTCAATGATATATGAGCTGGAAATAGCATCTTTTCAGCTAAGAACGAGAGAGGATTCAGATATTATTTTCTCTCTGTTGATCAGACAGACAAAGAAAGATTGAGCAGTTGTTTATTCACGGCAGATACCTGTTTCAATGTGGGGTTGATAGGGGTATATAGATGTAGTATTGAGTGCTAACATGGTTATAAACAGAAAGCCTGTGGGCCCCTACAGTACTAGGTCACGACAAAACCAACCAAGATGGTGTCATGAAGCCTCCTTAAAAGGAAGTGAAAATATAGGATTTTCAAAGCAGTTGTTTTTGGAACTCTTCATTTTGTGCTTTGTGTATGTCTGTGACTTAGCTTCCCTGGTTTGATATAAGCTAGAGCTACTAGCCCTTGTGATCCTATAAATTCCATCCCTCACTAGAGAAAGTCTTTCATGCAAAAATCACTCCAGGTATAAAAAAATATGGACCTTATGGCCATCGTCACTGTTCTATGCATTTGTCTCTCTGTTCTTCTTGTTACACCTTCTGCTGCTATGCAAGTTCATGAGAAGCAATCATCACATCAACATGGTACGTAACCAAGGAAACAAAATCTCTGCTTCTGTACTGCTATCTCAAATGATCATGATCACGTTCTTAATATTATTATATATGTCATTGTGAGCAGACGCCGGTGATAGAATCAAGTTCTCTGGCGTCCCTACACTGCCGAGGAAACTCAGAGTACTCCTTGATCAGGAGGCAGCTGTATGTATCCACGACGAACAACAACTGATTGTTCTCGTCACTATTTGTTTACCTTGTTGCACACTTGCGATTTGCTGACTTTAATATCCTCAAACCTTCTTAAAAACAGGTTAAAAGTTATGCAGCTCGAAGCTCCACTTCGCTCAATAAGCAGAAGGGAGACAATGCTCCAGGTAAATTCTGAAAAAAACCACCCTTATATGCAAACCATAGTGTTAGGAGCATCAAGTAGCTAGTGCTTGTTTTAAGGCGTTAACTCTCATCAGATATACCCACATCATAAATAAAGGCATATATATGCACTTTAGGTGGGCATTCGATGCACTTCTGTGGAGAGAAAAAACATTTCTTACGGTACTTCATAGGTTTTCTATAAATTCAAGTCATAGGTTGTCCAGCTTCTCATCCCCAGAATCGCAGCTATTAGCTAACAGTACTGCACGCTAGTCGTACCAAGTAATAGCATGTTCTAACTCGTAGAGACAAACAGCCCTTAGTACTAGCTAGTGAACAGTTAGACTTCTTGTAAGAAGAATTAACAAAGGGACTGTCTTCGCCCTAGTCTCTAATTAATTTAAACCAACTAGCATTATCATGCCAATAACACTGTATAGTAGAGGATGATGTATATTATGATTAAAATCAGCGATTTGCTTCCCTTCCAACTTCCAAATTGACCCCTTATGACCACTTCTTCCAGATAATAGGTAGTTTTGCTCTTTGTTATTTTTTTAACTACATATTCTACTTGAATTAATGTTTCCCAGTCAAACAATGAAAAATTTAGAGGTTCTCAATGTTCCATTAATTAATTAATAAATGTGATATCATGTCCAGGCAAAGCATACCACAAGGGACAAAATGGGGTGCATGGAGGCAGACCAGCCGGGACATGGCGTGAATGGGTCGAGGGGACCGACACGTCCCATTTTTTTACGATGGATTATTCGCGAGTTAGAAGAAGACGTCCTATACATAACAAATCCTTGCCGGTAGGTCCATAAAACATGGAGCGGGGGCCCGGCGGCGTCGATAAGATTGCTGGTTTACTTTCAGTAGGAGAAGAAACTTTTTGAGTAGCTAAGCTAGGAGGACGTAAAATTTTGGTTAGAAAGTAATGTTATTGTAATTACGGGAAGGAGGGATGTGTTTTGTTGTTATTTGTGTATTATGGCCGACATTACGGAGCAAAACCCAAAGATTTGTAGCAAACTAGGTCGACCGTACTAGCGTGTCGAATTTATATCATTTTTTTTATTTTTTTTAATTTTGTTCTGGGAGTGGTCAAAATTGGGTTACCAACCCCAATATCGAGTAACATGCTCTCTCGCGAGTAACAAGCAAACCGCCTTCTATAATATTAATTCTCTACTCGGCTTTGTAATTAGAATTCCAACATCACATTATTCTCGTTCATGGTAAACAAGTCTTGTTGTTGGAAGAAGTGGCTGACTATATGTTATCCTTGGTAATTTAACCCACCCTAATTAGGCCATCCAGATTTGGCATATTTACTCCAGGGTTATTTAGAGTGCTGTAGTTGTTGTTTTTTAAAAGTTTTTTTATAAATATATTATAATATTATTTTTAAAAAATATTTATTTTGTATCAATATATCAAAATAATTTGAAAATATAAAAAAATTTAATTTAAATCAAAAATCTTAATATTTTTGAAATTGAAGTTTGACGTAGTTGTTGATTATTTTGAACTACTTGATCAAATAATGAAGGTCAAAACATCTATCTGGAAATGAACCGTGTGTGCATGATGTTGAGACAACCCAGAAGAAAAAAGTCTGATTACAGTACATGAATCCAATCTTCCTCGAGTGAGTGAAAAGATTGGCATTCTTTTACGAAGCCAAAAAGAAATATTATAGAGAAACAATAAGGCATGAGCCGAAGATAAACCGAGGCCAGAAGATTTTGGTAAGGTACGGGGATAAATGGTTCGATTTATATTTTATATAATTGATTAGTATTTTTTTCATACGTTTCTTATATTCTAAAAATAACATTAAGCTCTATAAGAACAAGATTTTGGTTTTTTTTGAAAATAAAATCTTTATTTAAAAAAATTAAAATAACTTGAGCAGGCACATATATATTAATTCACTTCAGGCCCGCATTTGCCAGGCCTTTACGGTCTCCCACGGAAAACGACCCGCTCGGTTAAGAAAGGCCCGGATGAAAACAAACTAGGCCTCACCCTCTACAGTCGAACCCCATCATAAAACAAAAGAAATTGTTTTCAAGAGTGAAAACATCAAACCGGTCTCATTATTATTTCTCTCACACGCGCGCGCGCGCACAAACTTTAGTGAATTGGTAGCTAAAAGGTACCTGAGAGGCTAAAAATAATTTTGCATATGATATTCCTCTTTATGCTATACAACCAATGTACAGACTTCAAAGCACCAGACATCATGTGCCGTAGTTGGTTTAATAAAGGGTATTTGAGTGTATAATAATAATAATAATTTTTTTAATTTTTTTTTAAATATATATTAAAATAATATATATTTTTAATTTAAAAAATTATTTTTAATATCACCATATTAAAATAATTTTAAAATATAAAAAATAATTAAAAAATAAATTTTAAAAAAACATGATTCCAACTTTATCTCTAATACACACATCATCTACCGTAACCTTAAAACAAATACGCCCAAGTAATGTTTAGAATGTCATATATGACAAGATTGCATTTTCATCCCTAAAAAATAAATAAGCACAATACAAGAGGAGCTTAGTTTGATGCTTCTTTCAAGAAGATATTTCACAAGTGAGAAGACGAGCAACAGGGGCCAGCTACCCTTGTGAAACAACATCATAGTTGAAAGATGCTGGGGACAAAGCATCGGCAACAAAGTCCATGCATGGGAATGCCTAAGGTGATTGGGTCTCTCTAATTTGACCCCATAGCAAAGAGAAACAGAATAAAGTCCATGCAAGGAGTCCATATACCAGCAGTTCTTTGCTTGAATCTCACAGACATTATCAGTAGCAAGACACCGGCCTGTTATAGCGCTGCTGGCACGTACAGTACTGGAGTCGCTACGCTAAGACCTCCACAACTTTCTGCTCTGTCATGGATTTATATCGTGAATCCAATTTATTCTGACACGACGGAAGGTTACGAAGAAGATGGCACGCTGCTGTTGACAGAGACAAGATGGGGAGAAGACATATAGTGAATTAATTAAGATCATACAGGGATTCCACTTCGAGGAAAACACAAAACAAATGCTGAGTAGGAAGGAATGGAATCAAATTCACTCGTTCTGTTCGCCCAAGTGAAGTATTTAACCAGCTAGTCCATGGCAACTTGTGGTGTTTATATTTTGTTTATTTATTTATTTTGCAGAGCAACGAGAAAGAAAAGTTTTGTGCGGTATTGTTTTACAAGCAAGTGATGAGATAAATGTTAATTATTAAGTTTTAATTTTTAATTTGATGATAAAATTGTATTGTTAGTATTGTTGTGCATGCAAGTATTTGAAGTTTTAGTATGGCATCGTTCTGCATGCAAGTTAATTAGTTTTTGATAAATTATCAGATTTTTTTTTATTATTATTTTTGATAAAATTGTAATATCAGTTTGGTGAGTAAAGTTGTACTATTAATATTATAGAATTCTTTAATCATTGAATAAAAAATAATAATAATCTGGTAAATAATCAAATATTTTTTTAGAGAAAATTAAGTGGCAACTCCGTATAAAGTATATATAAAAAATAGAAACATGATCAAATTTAAAGGATTTTTTTTATAATTATTGTCTTATAAAAATATATATCTGAAATTTCATTATTAATATTAATATAAGAAGGTCTTTATCCACCATATCTGTATACTCACTTCCAAGAATAAACATTAGGTAACATCCTTGATTATCAATGCTGAGGTGATTTGTAGAAATAATTGTAAGATTGAAAGCTACCCTCAAGCTGATAGAAGTTGAAGATAAATAGAATTTTTCTTAACACAAATTAAACGCCCACGATCTTCCATCAAATTGCTGGCCAAGGAAAGTATATTTTGTTCGTCAAATTAAAAAAAACACAGAAAAAAAAAGTAATATCTAGGATATTAAGGGGGAGTTTACTTCAATGAATAATAATAATTTTTTTAAAAAAAACTGTTTTTGGAAGGAAATCTGTAAAAAAAAAACTGTTTTTGGAAGGAAATCTGAATCCGGAAAATAGAGCGCCGACAGTAAAACGTCGTTGCGTTTGTTTTTTAATCTTAGAGTGGGTAACAAACCATCTGCACCACAGGCATTTTCTATCATAAAACGTAAAAACGGAGAGATTTTAAAAGAAAGTCTATAATTCAACAAAAACAGAAAAATGGAAGATTTATGGAACAGAGCGAAGGTATTCGCAGAAGAAGCAGCGAAGAAATCCCAAACCTTAACAACTTCTTCCAACAAGATCGCCGATTTAGTAGCTGAAACCGCCAAGAAATCCAAAGAACTTGCCTTGGAAGCCTCCAAAAAAGCCGATGAGTTCAAAGTCGCCGCTCTTAAACAAGCCGATCAGATCCAAATCAAGTCCATTTCCGATATCATCCCTCCTCAGCTGTCCTCTCTCTCTATCGTTAATACCAATGCCTTCTCTTCCTCCTCCTCCTCTTCCGGCTCTGTTGTTTCCGATTCGGAGCTCCGGAAGTTTGGTGTTACTGATGATCTGAGAGATTTTGTCAAAGGATTGACTTCTATTACTTTTCAGAACTTTCCAGTTGAAGGTAAATTCACATCCCTTAAAATGTGGTATGATTTTTTTGTTAATTCTACTCATCGGATTACAATTTTGTTCATTTTGATGGTGTAGATGAAGGAGAGCCGTCTGACGTGGAGACAACGGGGTCAAATGTACGGAAGGATCTTAGTGAATGGCAGGAGAGACATGCTACACTTGTTCTCACCACCGTTAAGGTGATTTTGCATATTTTAATTTAAAGATGTTGGATTTTCTTTTTCTGTGTTTGAAATCAGATTATAATTCAGTGTGTTTTAACTGTATTTACAGCAAATTTCGAAATTGCGATATGAGTTGTGTCCGCGTGTGATGAAAGAAGGGAGATTCTGGAGGATTTATTTCATTCTTGTCAGCACTCATGTTGGGCCGTATGTATTTATTCTTCTTTTTGGAGTTCCCTGTTGGTTTAATTAGTGATTGAAAAAGGATGTTTATGCTTTTGGGTTTCCCATCACGAATGCTTAATGGTCAGAAGTGAATTGAAAAAAAAAATCCACACTGATCATCTCGGTAAGATTTATTAAGCTACATTTCTTTTAGCTAGGAAGATCAGGAGATAAAAATTTATGCCGCTTAATTGTATGTGCATGTGCTATGCAGGGAAGATAATTGCCGCATCTAGATAGCTTTTAATGTGAACTGTGAAGTTACAGCAGTTTTGATGCTTTATATGGAAATTGAAACCACTTGCTTATTTCATCCATGAATCAGTGGAACAGGAAGACTGGAGTGGTTATTTGCATTTGATTTTCTAAAATTTTTAGGTTCAAATTAGTAGGTCTATCAGAGGTGGTCATGGGATTCACAAAATAATACAATATAGGTCTTATTTTGCTGTGTTTGCTTTCCGTGGTTAAAACTCAGGTATGAGAAGCAGTATACGGAGGAGGTTAAGCGCAAAGCAGAAGAGCAGATACAACATGAAAAGGCAAAGGAAAGTTACATGGTTGGGGAGAATTCTTCTAAATCAGAATCAACGCCTAAGAACCTGAAAACTGAGACATCCTCAGTTGAGCAGGACTTGGACTCATTTCTTTTGGGAGATCTTGAAGACAGCGATGGGGGTCCAGGTACATTCTTTCAACATTTAGGCTTATGAACAAGTTGGTTGCAACACCATTAACTCCAATTGTGACTTCAAACATATTCACCTACTCTTTATGTTAACTACCTTGTTTGTGATGCTTACAACTTGCATGGAAGGATAGTCAACATATAGAATACTTTTTCAGTAGACATGGTGTCTTTATGAAGAAACCAAGCCGAGTCTACATTTTGGAATTCACACTGCTTCCCTGGCTACTTTCCTATCAGGGTCTCTGATTTTCTATTAAGTTGTTTAAATTCTGTGGACCGATGGTGAATGTACAATGGGTTGTGAGAGTTTTCCCTTAATATCAATGTGCTCTTAAGCGAAATGGGCCATATATTGGAATCTTAATCCTAAAACACCCTCTTAGGTCAAAGAGACATCCATGGGGATCTCTTTGAAATTAAATTTTAATATTAGTGGCTTATTATACTCTTTAAGAAACATGACTTCATAATCATGCTGTTAAACCCTTTGTCATTGCTGGTATGTCCCGTACACTTTGAGGTGCTTTAATCAATGGCTGATCCTTTCTTGGTGAATGCTTTGGCTGCCATCCTGTTTGACATGATTCATGTATGCATGGGTGCAATTGGAATGTGGAAGGGAATGTTTGCTTAACATAATTCATAGAAAGAGGATCCATGAATAGAATGACATTCAGTTTTTTTAATCTTCTCCAACGCTTCCTCTTTTGTCATTGCCTTCAGTTTTTCAATTATTTACTGTCTTTCAGATGATGGTGATGCAAGCTTCGATGATGATTTTGACAAGATTGACAATTCTGTAAGTTCATCTTATGAGTTCTTTTTTTTTAATCTCTTCCTGTCATGGCACTCTTTGAGCCAGCACCTTTTATTCCAGTTAGCATGCCTGCTCTGCAAATTACTTGATTAGGTCAGAAGAATGAGCATGCTAGGCATTTGTACAAAATTATACGGTTGTTTGGTAAATGACGATGGACATTGCAGGATGTTGAAGATGAGAAGCATTTGAAGGAGGCGACAGGCACTACAGATTAGCTTGATGATAATTGAAGAGATTATGGAGGGGGAGAGAGGGGGGAAAAAAGCTCCTGTAAAGAATGGAAAAGGACCGGTAAAAGGAATACATAAGCAACGCTTGCTAGTGTATCTCAATATTCAAAATCATGGTTCTGAAGAGGTGCATAGTAGCTGGGAAATTTGTACTTGCTATAGATCCTATGTGTTCTTTCATTTGTTTCAATGGTAAGTGACGATGCCTGTTTGCCTAAAAGATTGGGGGAAGTTGACTTGCCTTGTATACCCTATTTCTTGAAACAGTTGATTCAAGAATTTTCAGTTCAATTTGGAAATATATTGAAGTATTCTGGATGCTATCCTGTTCAAATTCCTTTATTTCTCGGAAAAGGTGCTCGAGCTAAATGCTGCACAATGGTGATTCAAGGGAATAGAATATCCGCGCTCCATGGAATCCTCTTCAGTCTCATCTCATGGCTAACACCAGAAGGCGTCAACTACTTGCTGTAGACTAGAGTGACGGCAATTCAAGAGATTGTGGAGAGCAAAACGCAGCTCCCATGGAGAACGGGAAAGGACCCCTTATAGGTGCACTCGCAAATGAACGGGTATGAATTAAATCATAAATAAATTATGGATAAAACCAAAATGACCAAGCTACTCTTTCTTCTGTTATATCCACACACACGCAAGAGAAAAAAAATCTACTTTTTTACTATTTAAAAAATAAAATAAAACTAACAAAATATATGGGCCTTCAAAAACTTCATATTTTTTTCTTAATTTCTTGAAGAAACCAAAACTGAATTCCCCCCTTCTGTTCTCTTCCAGTGTCGAATGTCAAATGAAGCTATCTATCTCCATGGAACCACCGCCGGCTAGCATGTGAGTTATGTCATAAAAAAAATCAACCCTTCTTACATATAGCCATCTCAAGTTCTCACCTGAGTCGCATTAACAAATGCTGTACCAGATCATCCTATTTGCTAATGTTCCAGTCATTAACAACTGCGATTACAATCCCTAAAAAGAGTTCGTCGTCATCGCTCCTAATTGAAATCACCATCGTTGTGGGTGAGAGACCACGTGGAGAATTCATAGCACCAAACCCGTTTGCTTTCAAAACAAATCCATTCTGTTCTATTAGCTGGGGAAGAATTTAAGAGGGTTGTGGATTCTTTTTTATGGTAGGATTTGGACGATTGGGAAGAAGAGATATTTTTGTCGATTCCTCCTGATCAATGGTTAGAAAATGTGAAGGGCCATGGATTTGCAAAGTTGGAGTCTAGAAGAAGAGAGGGTGCCGGACGAGAGGAGAACGAGGGATGGAGATGGATGGTTTTGGGTATTTCTCCAGAAAAAAAAACAAAAACAATTTGTGCGGAGCCGTATGTTTTGTAGTTTTAATTTGATGTATAAAAAATGGGAAATTTTGATCATTTTGGTTATTTGATAATTGAAAATTTTATTAGGCTTTGCCAGTAACCATTCCCAAAACATTATCGTATCCATTTATATCTTAAATAGTTATTTAAAACCCCGACTTATTTATTTTTTAAATGAGTATACAGATACACTTAACCCTTGTTCAATCCAGTAACTAACATTAAACAAGAATTAAGAAAAATAACAGTGGAGTTCCAGCACCAGGGCAACAAAAACTCAAAAAGAAATAAGATAAAACGTAACTTGGGGAATGGATATTCTGGTCAGATAATACAAGAACATATATGAACAATTAATAGAGTATTTATTTATTTTAAAAAAAAAAAAGAAAAAGAAAATTGCAGAAAAAGAACAATCACCGAAATGAAAAAGGTGACAATGCTAAGATTTCAGTCAATCGAGCGATAAAAATAATAATAATAAGAGAAGGAAAAAATTAAAAAGAAAAGAAAAGAAAAAACTAGCTTGAATCAATTTAAGTAAGCATATCAACAAGTCAGATTAGATTATGTAATAGGGATAAGCCAGCAAAAAATAAATATTAAAAAATGTAATAGGAATAAGCCAGCAAAAAATAAATATTAAAAAAATTTCAATTTCAAATAAATCAAAATTAAAGGATAAAATTAAAAAATTAACAAAAAAACAATAAACTAGATAAACAAGTTAAACTTTGCGGCCTAGATCATATTAAAATATTATAAAATTCAATTTCAAAACAGCTCAATATTAAAATGATATAATATAGCAAATATTAAATTTAAAAAACAGTCCTAAAAAAACTCGAGACAACTCAAGTTAATTTGCCAAACTCGCAGTGTAAGTGATAGGATCAAGATGGATAAATAGAAAGGAAATTAAAAAAAATCATGAAATTCAATCTCATAAAACTCCAACTTTTAAGGATGAAATTGGAAAAAAAAAATCTCCAGATAATCAAATATAAAATAATAAAATTAAATAAAAATATCAATTTTAAAAATTTATCAATGTAAATTCAACATGGAACGACAAATCAAAAAAAGTTAAGACAACCTAAGTGATTTTTTAAAATTAATGTGAAATTTTATAAAAAGCAAAACAAAATAAAAATAACAGAATTCGATCTTCAATTGAATAAATATTGAAGAGTGAAACTAAAAATATATAATCTAGAAAAACAAATAGTGAGGGTTGGGGAAAGCAAGTATGAGTGGACCTCTTGCACCTATTGGTGCATGAAACTCAATTAAAATTTAATAAATAAGCTTAATTTATAATTTATTATTGAATAATAAAATTTTAAAAATCAAAATGTAGAATATAAGTTTCTTTAAATAATATAGAAAAACAAATAGTGGGGGTTGGGGAAAGCAAGTATGAGGTCAATAAAATTTTAAAAATCAAATGTAGAATATAAGTTTCTTTAAATAAATTATTAAATTGATATTTAAATTACTATCAATCATGACATGGTTTTTATAATAATTTTAATAATCACCTTATGATTAAATATATATTAACCCAACAAGTATAATTTTTATCAATATTTACTCATTAATATTAAATAAAAATAAATAAATAATTTTATGTATTACTATACAGTTTAATATATTTTTTATAGACTTATTCTAATTATTACATGTGTGTGAAAATGATCAATTCATATTTTTATTATTATTGCTGAAAATTTCTTTCACAATCATAATAAGTTCTTTATCTAAAAATATTTTTGCAGCAAGGAAATTGATTCTTTATTATAAATATATATTTTTTCGTCCTTGATTCAAGTAACTAAAATTTACAAGAATAATTTTTTAAGCGTCATTATATTTTATCCAATAGACTAAATTGCTAATAAAAAAACATATTACTGTAAAAAAAATAGATGAATAAGAAAAGCCAATTTTCATTTAAGAAATACTTTTTTCTATCAAATTTTAACCACACAGTGTAATTGAATTGAAATAAAATTTGGAAAAGGATCGTGAGTCGTGACAGCGCCTCGAAAAAAAATAATATTATTTTCTGCATTAAATAAGGCGTCGTAGGCTGCAATCCCATGTTTTCAACAATTTTTTTTTAATTCATTTGGTCCGCAGGGCAAGTCTCGTAGGCTGCAATCCCATGTTTTCAATAATTTTTTTTTAATTCATTTGGTCCGCAGGGAGCCCGTTTCTGTTATGGGCCAAAGCCTCCAGTCTTGTATATGGGCCTCCTTCTCTTAGTTTCCCCCCCCCCCAAACCATTAAAAGCTTTTCATTGATTTCACAAAGGGATGCCCGAAGTTTGTCCGCAGCAGGATCTCCATGCTCCATGGCGCTTCTTTCTTTTCTAGTCTCAAAACCCTCACTCAAAACCTCCTTTCTTCCCCTCACTTCTCACTTAATTCCCATCATACCTTCTTCCCCTCTCTCTTCTCACTGCACCACCTCCACTTTCCCATTGCCTTCTCAATCACCTCCTGTGCCAAAGAAACGACCTTTCAATGTCTCTGCTCATACCAAAACATGGCAAGATCCTTATCATTGGATGAGAAACGCTAAAGACCCTGAATTTGTTGATTATCTCAACCAAGAAAACTCCTATGCTCAAGCTTTCATGGCCGACACTCAAAACCTGCAGAGGACTTTGCTTGAGGAAATGAAAAATCGATTACCTACTCAGATTTCAACTCCTCCTGAGCGCTGGGGTCACTGGTTTTGCCCTCTTGCACCTATCCTTTTAACTGTTATGACTAACTTTATAATCTTGCATTATAAATTTGTGAATTTGGTTTCTTATGGGATAAAAATTAATTTGTCCAGGTGGTATGGTTCATATGATGTTAATTTCATCACATTCGTGTTTTTATTTCAGCTGGAGGGAACCTATCCTGGAATTAGTGAATTACTGTAATTTTATTTTTCCATCTGAACAGGCTGTACTACCAGTACATTCCTGAAGGGAGGGAATACCCAGTTCTATGTAGAAGGTTGGAAACTGAGGAAAGTGGTTTGTTAAAGACACTTCTCAATTATGCCAAGGGACATTTTGGGATGGAGCAAGTTTTGCTTGACTGGAACCAAATAGCTGAACAATACGGCAAGCTTCTTTTTTCCCCCTTTCATTTGAGTTGGATATTTCTCTCTTCCTTTTCTTCCCCCCTTTTCCCGGGCAAATTTTGACATTGTAGCTTAATTCCATCATGGCTTTATAGAGAGTTAAATTTATCGTTAACTCTTCCATTTGGTCATTCTTCTTCCCTTTTTTTTCTTTGTTTAGAAGGCCGAGGGAAATGTATCTTTTAAATTGTAAAAATCCTAATAAAACAGGTCAATAAGTGAAACAGAATTTGGCATTGTTGATTGTGTGCTTATGTGGATGCGTCCCAAATGTGCAGGCCACATGACGCTCACATCAGACTGTTAACCCTGTCTCTATGTGCGTGCATGCATGTATTTACTGTGCAAACTGACTAAATCTTTGAGTTTGTTGGTAAATCAAAACATTTACTTAGGGTTAGAGTAATATTTGTGCATTGATTAACAACAGAGCTTCTACATTTCATCATATCAGTGATTAATGTCGATATCTATAGCAGGTTATGTGCATGTGGGTACATGTCGGGTTTCACCAGATCACAAGTTTCTTGCATACACACTTGACATTACTGGCAATGAACAATTCTTACTTCAAGTTAAGGACCTCAGCAATGGATATATTGTTTCACGATCACAAGTTGATGGGGTTGTTAGTTTGGCATGGGCTCAAGATAGCACTACTTTGTTCTACACAGTGTCGGATGAGAATCAACGACCATACAGGCAAATTGTTTTAATATGTCCTGGAAACTTTTTTTCTCATGGAATGGATTTTTTTTCTCACAATTTTTTTTTTTTTCAGGGTTCTCTTCACAAAACTAGGATCAGATGAGATAGATGATGTCCCAGTATTTACAGAAAGTAATTCAAGTTTTTGTGTGGATATAACAAGCACAAAAGATGGCAAGTTTATCACTGTGAACTCAAATTCAAGAACGTCATCCGAGGAAGGAATTTACTTAGTTCATTTTGCATTTCTTTCCAATGATATCTTCATCTCTGTATCTGACATGTTGAGGCTTACTTCCTATTCTGTATTTTACAGGTTTATGTGATAGATGCAACCAACCCGCTGGATGGTTTACAAAGAGTACGCGAGTGTGTTTCTGGAGTGCGATATTTTTTGGAACATCACTATGGTGTGTTCTATATCCTTACAAATGCTCCTTTAAGTGAAAGTGAGGACCGGTCAGATGGAAATTATTATTTGGCTCAATGCCAAGTTGAAGATATACAATCTTCTGATTGGCAGGTCAGGCTCATTTAATTATCAAATAATGAATTACTCCTCTCTTTTTTTCTATTATCACTATTATTTCACATAACAATGTTATCTTACAGAATATCATCCTTCCAAGTGAAGATATGAGCTTTCAAGACATGGACATTTTTAATGGACATTTGGTCCTTTTTGTCAATAAGAAGAACTTTCCTGCATTATGTTCCATCAATTTGCCAATCAAGTTTAACAGTGTGGTACATAAATTTCTACTTTTTTCAAATTCTGACTTACCAGGGAGTTCTCAAATGGAATTTTTTTTTGGGTTTCTATTTGCTTTGTATTTATGTGTTGTAATTCATATTTCATTTTTTCTGCACTATTAAATCCAGATTGGTCTAGAGGATCACCAATGGCATTAGTCATGTTGTTAGAGCTTTTCAATTTTATTTTTTTGCCAGAGGATCACCAATGGCATTAGTCATGTTAGAGCTTTTCAATTTTATTTTTTTGGCTTCAAAACACAGAAACAAATGTTACTTTTGTTATATATTAAAAAAAAAAAAGAACCAAGAAAAGAAAAGGGATTGTTAATGAACAAGTATGTCATCAATCCTTTGTTTCTCACATATGGTTATTGTGTTTCAGCATCTATAGGCAGGAAGTGAATGGCTGTTTATATTAAAAAAAAAATGTAGCAATGGGGAGGATGTTTCATGATATTTTAGCTAACGGGGAAGGGCTACTGCTTGAAACTTTTGCAAATTCTTTGTGCTGTTTTTATGCAATCTGAGGAATATCAGGATTTGCTGTAGGAGTAACCATTGTCTTGAGATCTTTAACAATGTTGCTGTTTTCTGTAAGAAATCGCCAAAATTTGGCAGATACCACATACAATCTTATATTATATACCTTCAGCATAGTTTTTCCTTGTGGTGAGCTGGTTTGAATTATTACTTCTGATGGTGGCATGGATGCTAAATACAATTTTTTTCTCACAGAAAGAAAGACTTTTACATGTCCATTTGCCAATCATCTGTAGTTGTTTTGCAGAATCAGTTGGAGATTGAGAATCTTGATCCATGGTTTTTTCCCCTGCCCTCAAGTCAATGTAACATCGTTCCAGGATCAAACCATGACTTCATGAACCCAGTATACCGTGTGGTGCTGTCATCTCCAGTGGTATAAATTCTATCAAGCTTAATTACATGCTTTATAGCTTAATGCCTCTCTCTTCTTATGTCAAGTATTATAATCTCAGAACCAGAAGAATATTTTCCACTGCCCAGTTACTAGCCCTTATCAACATGCATTCCAGAAACTATTTTCTTATATCTATATGTACAAGTTGTGGGGTATTTGTGGTCCCTTTGTGCCACCACTACTGGTTCTCCACGGCTTGGAATTAGCAGTAGCAAGTCAATGAGGGCTACCTTTTCTTCTTCTTTTTTCCCACTTTATGAACATACCGCATGCCTAGTATACCACAGAATTAGAAAGTACAAGCTATCCAAAGTAGGACTTGAATTCAAGATCTCCTGTATCCTAGGCCAAATCTTATGCCTTTGTGCTAACCCTTGTGGGTTGGATTGAATAACATTCCAGAAACTTTTACAAGGCCATAGTTGTTAGATTGGGTAATTTTATTGGATGGATGTAAGTTTCTTAAAATATGACATGGAGGAATTAAACTGATTCATTATGATTTACTAGTATCCTACTTGGTAGACCTGTGCTTATATTTATTAGACCTACAGTGGTGTTCAGAAGAGTTGCTTTAGCTGCAATCCAATGGGATCAGAAAGCCTTGAGTTGCGATGCGGTTTTCCTTTTCTTCTTTGTTCTATTCTTTGGACAGTGTCATATTCTGTATGCAATGACAATGCTTTATACCTCTTAAGCATGTCCCTACTTTTATTTATAAAAAAAAAAAAAGGAAAAGAAAGCGTAAGAAAAGAAAGGGGCATGATAAGAAAAGGTTACTCTGTAACTCTCCTAGCATTTCTTTCAAAATATGCAGATGCCTGGTGTGGTTGTTGACTATAACATGTCAGAACGGATATTTTCGATTGTGCAACAAGAGAAAGTAAGAGATATTTCTGGTGATTGTGGATCATGCTCACTGGCTTATGAGCTAGATACTTCTGAATATCTTGACCCACTAAACGATAAGGACAAAAATAACTTGAATATTGAATTGCAAAGATGGAAAGACTTTTCTGGTGCATATTGCTGCAAAACAAAGGAAGTCATTTCCCATGATGGTGTCAGGGTTCCTCTGACCATTTTGTACTCCCGAAAAGCCTGGCGGAGGGGTCAATCTCCTGGACTATTAGAGGGCTATGGAGCATATGGGGAAGTTCTAGATAAAAGCTGGTGCTCAGACCGCCTGAGTTTACTTGATCGTGGTTGGGTGCTGGCCTTTGCTGATGCGAGGTTTGTTTTGTGAAGTTTATTTATTTCTCATTGATCACAAAGTCACCTTTTGAATGGAAATTAACTAGAGTTAGGTTAGGCGTAAGATTAAAGTAAACATGCTACACGTTAGTTAGATGTCAACTTTCATATAATTATTTGTATTCATATTTTATTTACAAAGAATATTATTTTTCCAAGACCTAGTGGTACATGTTTGTGAAGATTTCTTCATTGATGACATGATGTTGGTCCTTGTTAAAAAATTGGGCTACCATTTTGCTTCCAAGATTGGATCAAATTGTATCTGATAATTTCCTTCTTAAATGAAATAAAAATTACATGGCGATGCTTGATAAAATTTCTGTCATATTTGAAGAATTGACATGTACTGCATGGGCAGGGGTGGCGGCGGTCATTCCTCGTGGCATAAATACGGCAGTGGGTTGAACAAATGCAATTCAATATATGACTTCATATCATGTGGCAACTACCTAGTTTCTGAGGGCTATGTTCATAGAGATCGGCTAGGTGCCATTGGATTTAGTGCAGGGGGTCTTCTTGTTGGGGCAGCAATCAATATTAACCCAAATTTATTTCGTGCTGCCATTTTGAAGGTTAGCCCTCATTTAATGGATATGGAGAAAAAGTACTATTAAAAACCATTTGGGGTTTTAGAGGGGCATTTTGTTTCTTATTAACATCATCGATACTGTGACACTGATAGTTGGCTAACATTTCTATCAGGTTCCATTTCTTGATGCATGCAACACGTTGCTAGATCCAAGTTTGCCTCTCACCTTGCTGGACTACGAAGAATTTGGGAATCCTCAGATACAGTCGCAGTTTGAGTCCATTTTAAGTTATTCTCCTTATGATAACATTCCTCGTGATGCTTGCCTTCCATCAATGCTTGTAACTGCATCTTTTCATGACTCAAGGCAAATTCATATCTTGAACTTTCTTAATTGATAATCACGAGTGTTGATCTTTAATTTCTACTCATTTTCTCATATTCATAAATAGACCTGCATGTGTGTTCTGTCCATTAACTAAGTGTTTAGTGCTCGTTTCCCAGGGTTGGAGTTTGGGAAGCTGCCAAATGGGTGGCAAAAACACGAGACATTGCATGTTCTCATTGTTCTCGTTCAGTCATTCTGAAAACAAATATGACTGGAGGGCATTTTGGTGAAGGCGGTTGCTATAGTCAATGTGAAGAAACAGCTTATGATTATGCTTTTCTGATGAAAACTATAGGAAATGTGAATGGCAATAAATAAGACTAGACTGCCTGTAAAGCATGATTTCTATGTTGCAATCCTACTTCCAGCACTCGATTTCCCATCTTGCGGATGGTCAATACAAGGTAAATGTTTCTAGACGATTCTTAATTAGTTCATGATTTTAAATTAGATGATTTTTTCTTTTTCAGTTTTTGTTTCTGTTTCTGTTTCTGTACTTCGAAGATGAAATTTGTTCCTGCTGTACTAACGAAGAGAACATGAAAACAGCGGCTGAAGGTCATCGGTTGTATGTTTCAATCGTCCAGTCATAGATCTTTTTCTTTCTCCACTTGAATTATTAAGATGTGCTGGTCTGTTTTTTATAAGAATTGTAGAACAGTCTGCAGAATTACTGCGTGATCACACATGCTCGCTTAGAGATTGCTTCCATTTAGACAATTAATGATCCGAAAGTGATATATATGTAGCACTTGGAACACACAACTGTTTGATCTATGGTACCAGATTGGAGTACTTACATGGGATGCTTTCTCCTTTATAATGAAGACAGCTCATGCATGTCGGGGAAACGTGAAAACCAGCAAGAAGATTCCAGGTCAGCACAGAGAAAGGGTCGTGTCTGCTACAAACAGTTGAAGCATCATACGACATTCTTGCCTAGATGTTAGAGCCTCCTGTTCTGTAGGAGTCGTTATGACAAGCAAATATCCAACAACCAGGTGGCATCCCTCATCGTATTTTGGACTGTAGGCCTCTAGAAGCTGTAAAATATCAAATAATTTTAACCTATGATAAACCTCATGTTTTTCGGTACGCTCTCCGTATTCATATATCCAACAACCAGGTGGCATCCCTCATCGTATTTTGGACTGTAGGCCTCTAGAAGCTGTAAAATATCAAATAATTTTAACCTATGATAAACCTCATGTTTTTCGGTACGCTCTCCGTATTCATATAAAGGCACTTTCTCCATCCTGTATTGACATCTATCAAGCTCAGCGGATAACGATCGGTTAAGACGTAAAAAAAGAGAGGATACCTGTCAAAGCAACCTTTTGTCATTTTTACCTGTTCTGCGTAAATGAATGATATAGAAGTATGGACTTGGTTATGCGATTTATTGGATCCTCATGTTTGGGTGCTTTATAGAATAAATCATTGCTCCATGATTTATTCCACGGTACGTGCTGTCATTAATTTTAACAAAAAGAATTGACGGAGGGCTTCATTAAATAATGTACAATATAGATAAATTAAATATTATGAATTGAGTGGGTTTTTTTATATAAAGATATGATTGAAAACATGTAATATTGAAGGGTACATTAACAACTTTTCCTAAAAAAGAAAAAAATTGTTCATTGAGTAGGTTTACCGCACAGTGACGTGACAGTGGTATGCACACGACGGAGACAAGAAGAGGGTGGTTTTACAACCATAAAATATCAGTATTTTTTGGTGCTCGGAGAAAATCAGTGGTTTAAAATATGTTTTTTTTATTTTATTTTTTTTTTGAAATCGTTCGATCGCTTATAGCAGACGAACGATGAGATCATTTTTGTTTTTCCTTTGATGCGCAAGAGCCATTTTACAGAAACCAGGCAATCCTTGGTGTGTTAGCGAGCATCTCCCTGGAGTCAACAACTTGTGAAAATAATGTGCTAAAATGTAAATCCAGGCTCCATTTTGGATTTTAACAATGGAAATGTTCATCGTTGATCAGAAACGAGGCTGAATCTCACTCATAATCATGCTCAGCATTATTAAAATTTGCGTCTGACACACACAGACCTGCATATTCCCCACCGGCCCCCAAAATGCTCCACTACATGCCTATTTAGTCAATATGTACGTTACAACCACGATATGGCCACTGCGCATCAAACGACCACAAATCTGAGCAGAAACATATAATCTAAGGTGACAGCTCTTAACATGATTCCATGAACTATTTAAGAATCTGAGAAACCAAAAGCACAGCATGTACAATAACCCGAGGGCTGATATCGGGAGCTAAAAAGATATCCCCAGAGCAAACTTGATAAATCCCATGCTGGTCTTATGTCTTTAGCCGTTTTTGAGCTTGATCCGAGTCCTCTCCTTCGCTTGCATCCCTAAGGTGGGTCATCACTTGGTTGCAATCCTGGGGATCCTAGAAAGCAATGGAAGGCACACAAAACTGGCTAGATCAAGCATAATCATAATGTTTATTAGTTTATTACTACTTTCCTAACAACACCTATTGTTTATTGACCACTTTAAATTACCAGCCTCGTACCTTGGATGTTGATGTTCCAGAGGTCAGCCCTTTATTTGCCCGTTTTCCAAGATCAATCTGAACTGAGATGTTGGCCTGTGACAGATCTACACTGGCACTCTGCAATGCTTGCGTAAGAGTATTCAGCAACCTGGTTTCCACAAAATTCCATATCAATGTCCAGCTTATAACAAACACCCAGAACTTCAAAAATTAAAAAGATCACACGCACTCTTGAGAGTAAACACTGGAGATACTGATAGTCCCTGCTTCAATTGCCAGCTCCTGCTGGTTCAACATTTCACTGGTGATGGGGCACTCAGCTGATTGAGCATCAGAGACTGGTTGCTCAAGGGGAGGTGCAACTAGTCCATCACTTCTAGCAGGAGCAGGCATGGGAAGAGCGTTTGCTAGCTCAGGTTGATGCTCCAACACTTTGCAGGTGACATGGTCAGATTCTATTAGATTCGGAGTGCCTGGAAGCATGGCTGGGTTGAGAGCAATGTTATTCTCATCAAGTTTCCCAGGAAATGCTGCCCCTGGCCCAGAACCATTTTTAGTAGCTTGAGGGTGACCACCAAAACTTTGAAGGCGCCAGTGGCTGTTTCTCTGTTTCAAGGTGATCTAGTGAGTTATGCTGAGAATTTTCCAGGTGTAAAAAAAAAGGTACCATATTCAAAAGCATCCACAATTTCTCTCCACCACCAGCAAATTTCCAATAGAAGTAATTAATACCACTTCTCAACCAGACCTTGAAAAGCAATTAACACAAAAACCAAAATGCAAGTAATTTTAAGGAGGTCCAGAAGCAAGAGCCCTCTGTATAACTAGAACAAAAAAATAACACGACGGAACAAGTCTAAAGAGAAAGGGCTCACCATCAAAGATAATAAGCCCCAAATCTAAACACCACTGATTGTTGCTCAACTTTGACAAGTAAAAAAACCAAAAGTTTTAAGCAAATTTAGTAAAGGCATATCAAAGAAGTTACCCCACTACAAAAGTTTTACCTCGGACAATTTAATGAAAATTTTATTATGTCAATTAATCCATAGGAAACAGGATTTGAGTAAAACATAAACAGAACCAGAGTCTGGTAACAGGGTTGACATTCTGAGATTTGAGAAGAAAACATCAATTTTCAATTACTTGATTACGAATGTTTATCTCATATTTCTTTTCTTTTTTTCATTATATCATGAAGATTTCTTACTGTTAATTGTTGTCTAGATGAACATTCTTCCTGCCTCGGATTTATAATATAGAACATGAAGAGACTCGGATTTATAATATAGAACATGAAGAGACGCAAAAACCACACTGCACTTATTGGGTTAAGCATCATAACAGACAAGTTGGATGCTTGAGCACATCCTTGATAAATCCTATCATCAGTTCCAAATTTTCTCTCAAGTCATAAAACCATGGCACTAATTCACTTGAAGAGTGTAGCAGAATATAACAGGTGGACATGTCAACACCTGCAATTAGGCATTAACTAATGCCGATATACATGGGTGAGGGTCACAAGTATACAGCATAAATAGGCATTAAAGCTTTACCCATGGCATCAACTTTGCTGGCTCAGGGCTCCATCCAGGATATGGACCCTCATACTTTTGCACCTTCTCCTGTAAATACTGGACATATTCAATGACCTGCCAAGGAGCATTAATATGTAGTCAACAAATTTGAATGGAAAATCTTGTCTACTGAATTGAGCAGTATGCTCTAGTTTGAGTCGCATGTTGTGTACCTCTAATAAAAATGATGCTGTATCTCTTTTTTGATCACTATGAGGAATGAGATCTCTCAATATCTGAAATCTGAAAGAAAAAGACTCTGGTTCATAAAGCTATATCACATTTTTACAGTTCACGAGTAAATGAAATTTTGACTGATAATCAGAATGTTTAATCAAATGCATCCTTTATTTTATGGTGAAGCAACATCTAAGATTTATATTTCTAGTAAAAAAATTTCAACCATTGAATTGTGACCATTTGTTGAGATACTGGTATCCATGATAATGAAAGATGGCCTTGCCAGCAGACACGCACAAAAAATTGAAAGCCTCATAATCAGTATTAAGATTAAGACATACTATACAAGTGTGTTTATATTTGGTAATACTGCAACATGACCAAAAGCTGATAAAAAAGGGTACAAGTTTGACAAGTTTGAACGTATGGGTCAGCAATCCTGAATACTGTCAATCAGTTAGTACCTTATCTGAAACCACTTCTAGTCAAAGTTCAAAATTTTAGTTAAAAAAACCACCAACATTACACGGTGAGGATAATTTGGCTGGAAAGTAAGTATCGTGCTGGAAACTGGTGCCTTCAAGACTTGAAAATAACAGTTAGCAAGTGAAGTGATTCAACCCAGCTCAATTGCATAATGTAATGCATTGACTTAATTCCCTAACCATTTTGCAAAATCACTGCAAAGAAAGTTAGCTCAAACTGCCCTCCTTTCTAGGGCTCCATCAAAGTTAAATCGAATTATCCTTGAGTTTTAAATTCATCAACTAAACTAGTGTAAGGAAAAAAAAAGCCCTGAATACCACTGATTTTTCATATTGACTGGTCGAACTCTTTATCCATATCTCCCTTCACTGAAATGATAGTGCGAGCAAAAACAAAGCTGGTGATTCAAACAACAGCAAGACAGGCATGACTAGCATACAGAATCTTGTGAGCAGAAAAAATCAGAATTGTATTGCATACATATTCAAATGCTAGGGTTTATATATATATTTCATGTGCTAATAGTCAATCCACAAAAATAAACCAACAAACCTCTCGTTTATCTTGCTCCTCCTTTTCTGCTCAGTGACAGAATGTTTCGATCTTATTGCATTAGCCTTGTCACTATTCTTCCCATCTGCCTCCGAATCCGAATCCCAAATCATAAAAATACAGGAATAAATAAAACTCAACAACCCATTCTAAAACACACCATTTCAACAACCCTATGGCATAAAAGCCTCCAAATTTACGATTGAGAAGCAAACAAATAAGAGAAATTGCACCATGCCAAACTTTAGAAATTTTTTAAGAAAAATGCAAAATCACACCACGAATAAAGAAATGAGAGAACATAAACTGTGACAGCCTTGTAGAGAAGGAATAAAAAAAGAGCTGGATCTAATATAGTACAGTCTAATGTGAAAAAGAACACACCTTTACAAGAATTAGTGTTGTTAATTGTAAAATTTGAAGATGGCCCATCTTTTCTGGAACCAAATTCATCTTCCTCGTACTCTTCCTCCTCTTGATTTTGATTCCCTTTTCCTCTCATTCCAGCAAGTCTAATTTATCACCACAAAAAAATTCAAACCCGAAATTCAGATTTCTTTTTCTAGAGAGAAAAGGAAGAAAAACATCTGTACACTTTGATTACAAAGACTACAAATGAAAAGGAAATGAGAAAATAGGTTGAGCCAGACCTGGACTGGATTAGTTAGTATACGAGAATAGATAATTTAAGGAGTTGGGTGGTTTCCGGTGAACAGAACCACCGTGTCGGAGGAAGAGTTGTGGTGGCTCCGGCGATCTGCCAACGGTATTTTTGAGTTTGTGAGTTAGGACTTGGGAGTTCGTGGTCTGGTCTGGTCGCTCGTGTTTTTTTTTTTCTTTTTTGCTGGAAGTGGTGCAAAGGATTCCATGCGGATTTGCTCATGTTTTTCCGTGAGCTCAGGGCTTTCTTTTAAAAAAAAAAACAAGAAGAAGAAAAAAAAGAAATTTCAAGAGTGTTTTTTTTTTTCCACCTTTCAAGGGCATTGAATGAATGTACCCGAAATATATTA